TATATATCCAGAAGCCAGTTGTATACCCGAAGGCAGTATGAATCATATATGAGGCCGAAGGCCATATGTCAGCACTATATGTGTGTTGAGAATACCATGTATAACGGGCCTGTGAGATGTAACTGGAAGACTCGACCATATGAGCAACAATCAGAAATAGCACGTGTGTGTGGTATATCAGACTGGGGAGGAGAATTGAACGACCAAGACCAACACCCCATGCAAGCCCTGCGGAACCCAGAACCAGCATACAACACCCGGGACTTGATCCCCTGACCAATACAGGCAGGGTCTGTAATCATGACCATGTAGTGGTCAGAGGATAGTGTATGTCCAGCCGTGCGTCATTCTAACGCCCTGCCGGTGTCCATGCGCAAGGCTGCAGATTTGAGCCCACACCCTCATACCACAATGCCCATTTCCAACCGGTGCTCTAACCACTGAGCTACATCAAGGACTTCGTCCTAATTCCTGAGGATTGTTCAAGGAGGGTCTAACGAGGCCCATAGTATACAATGTCGCCCTTCTAATATACCGCCTAGCCTCTCCTACTAAGTACCTAAACTAGCCTACCCTAGGATATGCAAGAGGAGTCGCTTCAAGCTGAAGACCAACGTACGTGACTAAGTCATCCATGCAGACTGCCGTACATATCAGGTACGTGTTTTCCTCTTCCTCATTGTTCATTTGTCCTTTCCTTGTTGTCTCCTCCCTCCGTCTCCTTCGTCTCTTCTTCCACTTCAGCACCCTATCCCCCACACTCACGACGCAGCTTCCCATGTTCTGTCCCTCGTACGAAGGTGCTGCAACCAGTATGCATTTGTTTGTAATCATGGCCCAAACGAGATGCATCCGGTTACGATCTTACCTAGATTAGAGGCTCGAAATAAATAAATAAATAAATAATAAAATAAATGATGAAAATAGTAATCGTATTTAATGAATACATGAAAGCTAATCACTCCGATCCGGTACATGATGAACGGATACAAGCCATCTTTCCGATTCCATAAGGCGTGTTGTGTTCGGGGTTGGTGCTCAGTGCCTCCCCCTACTGCGGTGAGTCATGTCTCTCCCTCTCTCTTTCTCTCACACGCACACACATACACATGGTAAAGAGATGCCCGCTACACTCATTTATCATTCAGCAGAATCATAACCATGAGACTCTTTCAAGAGAATCGGCGGGAAAAGAAGACCCTGCTAATTCCCACTACAGTTTGACTCTGGGAAATGACTTGAGAGATGTAGAATGAGTCGAAGTTTCATGGCATGGATATTCTTTACTCAGGTACGTGCTCGATTCCTTTCGTCACCATCCTCCCTTCTCTCTCCTTCCCTCTTCTTTCTCTTCTCCTACCTCGTCATCTTCTTCTCCTCCTCTCCTAGTTCTCTTTGCTTTTCTCGTCGCCCTACCGGGCACTGTCCCTCTGCAGAATGGCCCGTCACACAATGATTGTGCAGCACAAACCCGGGATGACCGCAAGGCAGGAGCATGAAGATATGTGACCGCTTGAGGTAAGTGCCTTTATTTATTGCCGCTCGGTTTCTTCTCCTCCAACGGTTCACCTCCTCCTTCCTGCGCGTCTTCTTCCTCCTCCTTACTGCCTCCTCCATCATTTCTTCTTTTTCAAACCTATTTGGCCAGTAATTGCAGCCAGATACTAAAGATTTAAATCACAAAATGAAAAAAAGGAAAAAATAAATAAATAAAAAATGCTAAGCCACTTGGGGGCCGGGGGGGGGTTCTATTCGGGGAAGATAACGCGCAACAGTGGCAACGTCGACCGTTGAGCAGCAGGTACGTTCCTCTCTCTCTCTCTCTCTCTCTCTCTCTCTCTCTCTCTCTGTGCCTACTACTAACGTAAGACTACCTAACACGCTGCTCAACACGCTCTATGTCAACGGGTGATACAACCGCGAACGGAACAAGAAATGCGAGCGGGAGGATGTTAGCAGTCGGGACGAGCAACCACGAGCGGGACGAACACAGCGAACGGGATGAGCAACAATGAAAGGGACGAAGATTGTGCTGATGGAAACGGCCACGACGATGGAGATGACGTTGCGCACGATGATAATGATGGCCACGATCGCGACGAGCACCAGCGGGGGGATCAAAAACTTTGAATTAGACTGCCAAGTCGTGAATGGCACGAGTGTGGTTAATACTGGTTATGCTACCTTCCTGATCCGTTACGTTCGAGACAGCGCACGCTTAATCCGAGGGAAAGACATGCTCGCAGGTATGCACTTTGTCTCCCTTTCCTAACCCGCCTATTCCGCCTCTCTATCTCTTTCTCCTTCTGACCTTCGCCTTCTCCCTGCCAACTCTCGTTACGTTGCCTATCATTATTCAAAATACTACTACTGCTACTAATAATAATAATATCGATATTAAAATAAAATGAATATATACAAGCTACCTTCCCAGTCGGATACGGTCAAAGTGAAGGTGCGCTGTCTTCGGGGATGGCCATCCTCCTGCATCGATGACCACCATTGGTACAGGGGTGAAGCTCTCTCTCTCTCTCTCTCTCTCTCTCTCTCTCTCTCTCTCTCTCTCWCACACACACACACACACACACACACACACACACACGTGTAGTAGTGTGCATTTCCATGTTCTAGCGGTAGATTCATTCGATTTTGCCCATCCTATCGATGATAGTACCATGAAGTCCGACCCGGGATTGGAGACTTACATGTTCTCTCTCTCTCTCTCTCTCTCTCTCTCTCTCTCTCTCTCTCTCTCTCTCCGCCGTCGCCCGCCAACAGAGCTCGATGCAGGCGAACCCGACAGACAGAGAACGACAAACTTCCATAGCCTCCAACCAAACGCAGCCAAACCGCAACGTAACAAGCCGCAACGCAACACGATCTGTCACAATGTGCAGCATGCCCAGATACGACAGGCACAAGCGTGCATTCCAACAAATCGGGCAGATGACGGGGCCAACCTCACGACGCCATCGTTGGATGCATCACAAGTCTTCACCTTCGCACATGGTAAGCAAGGGATGCAGAGGCCGCCTGCGTCACCGCTCCCTGGCGCCACTCAGATGGCAAAGAGCGCTGATCCTCCTTACCAAGTCGCGACAAGTCCCAAGACAAACGGAACGCTCTGCGGGCACAAAGACAACGCCACGACAATGCTGCAACCGCTCTCCCCGAAGCCTAAGGGATGAGGGGTGCTGAAGCTGATAGTCTGTGACAGGTACCACCGCGTCGCCATCATTCTACTGCAACTTCTGCAAGGTCAGGTAAGTTGTCCTCTCCCCTCCTCTCTTTCTTCCTCATACCTCCTCTTCTTCATCTCGTACGCTCCCATCTTCCCTCCTATGCGCTCTCGTTTCTCCCCTTCGCGCTCGGCTCTTGCAGTCGCTCGTTCTACCTCGCGCTTGCCACCGTTCTCCTTCGCGCGCATCTACCTTTGCTCCTGCGTATCCTTCTTCTGCTAACGCTCACGACCTCAATAATAATAATCCCTAATAGATAATAATCATCATAATAATAATAACAATATCAATAATTATAATAGATTCGCACAACAGCGTACCGGGCGTGCGCTGGGTAGCGCTATGCAGCCGTGAACGTCGCGACTTGGGGTGGAAGTAGGGCACCTGGCCGGGCAAGTATTGACGTGGAGGGAAGGACAGCTGGAGGACAGCCATGACCTCAGAAGTTCGTCCATAGCTGAGACGGGGGGGGCTGTGCCCATGAGAAAGGGGGGGAAGAGAGGACAGGGGAGGGCAGGGCAGGTGCTACGATCGACGATAGAAAAGAAGGGCTCAAAGGCGACGTGGAAACGGAGGTACCGGATTAAGGTGAGGACCTGCAGCAGGACAAAGAGCCCGGAGAGCGGGGGAATCGTCACAACGACCGGAAGGTGGCGTCAACAACGTCAACGAGGGGAGCATATTCAGGGAGTCCTCCCTCACGGGGCCCCATGTCCTACAAGGGCATGGTGGAGGGAGCGATTGAACCTGATAATGACCCGGATACACGAAGATGCAGAGCGCAACATGACAAGTATGATCTGAGGGAGTAAAGCTTCATTCCAGGTAAGTAGAGATACCACCGTCTTGTTGTAAGGAGAGAAAACATCCATAAGGAAGAACGTTCCATCGACAAACGAGAACGAAGGTAAGGAACGAGAGGGGAGACAAGGGGAAGAAGGAAGGAGGGACGGGTGAGACGAGGGGGAAGGAGGATGAAGGAAAACGCCCATGGATTTAAGAAGGGAGGAATAGGGGCGGTACGCAAGGAAAGGACTAAGGAGAGTGGACAGAGGAGTCGGCAGAGGAAATGAAGGAACCCGAATCTTCCACACTCCCTTTTCACCCTGTTCATTTTTCTCTTTCCCCTTTTTTCTCTCATTTCGTAGAAACGAACCCTTGGGACGGAGCAACCGGAGGCGAGGGAGGAGCGGGAAGGACGAGGAACGAGGTGGATCACACAGGGGAAGAGGATCGCGCGGGTTTGAGGAGGGGAGCTGAAGGAGAGTGTATTGGAGAGGAGGAGAGCTGAAGGAAAAGTACGGAGCCTTTCCCTAATCCCCCCATCCCCGTCTCCCACCATACTTTTACCTTACCTCACCCTAAGGCTTCCCGTTTCGTGCCCTCTTCACTCAGTACTCCTCTGCTTAGTTTGCTCGTGACACTTCGCTGTATTGACCACAAAAAGCAGCTGGTAGAGAATAGAGGGCCCTAACCCTGTTTTTCCCCCATCCCCGTCTCCCGCCGTGTTTTCCTTACCTCACCCTTCCCGTTTCATACCTCTTCACTCAGTACTCCCTCTTAGTTCGCTCGTGATACTTCGCTGTATTTGAACACAACAAGCAACTGGTAGAGAATAGAGGGATAGGACAGGAAGAGAGAGGAGAGTAGGAAGGCGGGGAGTAAACATGACAAATGTTCGCGTGGAAGGAGAGAAGGGAAGGAAAAAGCATTGCATATAGAAGGAGGGACAGGAGAGACGAGGAGTGGAAACCTACTGAAGAGGAACACTCCAGAATCATACCAGAATCACTCAGAGAAGGAGGAGGGGACAGCAAAAGTTCCCCGCGAAGGGATTGAGGAGCGGCGTCAGAGGGGAAGAGCCGAAGAGTAAAGGAAGAAGTAGTGGCGACAGAGGGGAAGAGAAGAGAGCGGAGAAGTGTGCAGACGGATTAAGGGACCTCTGAAGGAGACTGTAGTACAGATGCCCCCCATCCCTTTCTACCACCGGGTCCCTACCGTTCCCTCCCTTCACCCATAGTCCCTCATCAACCCTCAGTGACCCTTCGCTGTTTTTGTTTATAATAAAGCAATCGGAAGAGGACGGACGGATAGGGGACGAAGACATACGAGAAAAGGAAGGAGGAGAGGAACCTTGGGCACGCACACGGGCACGGATTACACAGTTAAAGCATTAGGAGAGGATGATTGAGTGGAGGGTGCGAAGGGAAGGAGAAGCACAGTAGCAAGGAAGGAGGACGAAGATCGGCTGGAATAGACCATCCCGGGATCATACAGAGAAGCGGAAGAGGAACGGAGCATACACGCAAGTGCTAGGCAAACAGAACTAAGCGAGCCCTGAGCCGGGCCGAGAGACAGAGAAGAGGGAAGGAGTGGTTAGACAAAAGGAAGGGGGAGGGAGGATCCAGTTTGACGGTTAGTAAGGGAAAGAGTAAAGGTCTCGCTCCACTACTGTCCACTGTACAATTTTTCGGACATTTCTTGGCCAGTTGTCAGAGCGAAAAATTGTACAGCGGACAGTGGAAAATGCGACGTCGGCAATCAGATTTTTGTCGTTATGGGGGCCGCGAGCCTTCCGGTAGCGCTAATCGCTGCGCTAATTTGGTGCGCTATTTTCGGGGTAGCGAGTAGGCCCGGATCAGCGTGGTCGGTAGCGCTACCCGAAGCCTCTAGGCCCAGGGAGCGCGGCAGTTGACGCAGGTAGCGTTCTAAGTTAGCGTCTTCGGCTGTAGTGGCGAACCGGTTTACCGTGGTTCTACCGCCATGATAGCTACCACGGGAGTTTTCCCTCGCCATCTCGCTCGGTAACTTCCGAGCATCCAGCCTTTTGGAGAGGGAGGTTGGAGAGGGCAAGCCGGCCCGTCGACAGGTGTATTGCTTTCGTCGTGAACTACGTGAGCTACGGGTTTAGGCGTACGCCGGTTGGCGTCCGCCCTTCAGATGTGACGTTGTGAAAATGAACGGAGATGTCGGGGTGACGTGCGCTAATATTGTGAGAAGAGTAACTAGTGCTTCGTAGGTTGTACGTGGTAGAGGAGGTACCCCCCCCCCTTCAGGGGGCCGCAAGTACTTAGACGAGCAAGACGTACCCCTTTCGAAGTTAGGAGGGTAACCAAGTCTAAGTTACGTTGTTTCAACTTAACAGGAGGAAGACCAAAGTTCGGGTATTGAATAATCGTCTGCCGTCGTAAGAGCGTGGCAGAACTTCGTGTATAGACCAGGAGGGTCATATTGTGTACACGTCATCATAATCAACTTGGAAGAAACAATAAACGAGAAGTGATAAAGGTGAAGATAGAAGGGGTCCACGGAGTACAACTGTCACGCAGGCAAATTAACGAGGCAAGATATCCATGGTGTCGGGTGGAGGGGGAGATGGGCAGAGAGAGGATCGCTCCCCTCCGGGACAAGGGGAAATCCCAATCTCAGAGGAAGATCGGGTGCAATTCCTGATAGCGAAATGCTATGAGGAAGGAATCTTCCCTGAAAGTTTGAAGCAGGGTAAATTTGTGTACGAGAATGGAGTCCGCATCTTTGTGGTGGATAAGCAAGTAGGGGAACTTACCACCCGATGGTTGAAAGAACGGACAGTGACCGTGGTTTTTCAAGGGGAGGCTCGCTCTCTGCCGGCGAAAGTGAGAGAGGATTTAATACGTGCATATGAGAATGGTTGGATTAGATCCTGCACCTTTGGACGGGCAATAAAGAGAGGAAGAGTGCACTCGGAAGGGCCTAATGTTATGTCGTATGTAGCGATGACAAGGGAGATCGCATAGTGGCTGATTAATAAAGGAGAGGATACGATCATCATTTGAGGGACGGCATATAAGATGTTACTCAAACCGTGAATGACGCGACGTGAGTTGGATGAAAGAAGGAGGTTGGAGGATGCCTCCAAGTTCTGGGTAATGGCACTTCGAGTGCCACTGAGGGGGATGTTCCCAACCGTTGATGCAATCGAGCAATGCATGGGAAAGATAATTAATGCTATTCCGCCTCAGCCTGATCTGTCACGCCCCAAACTGATGAATATGAAATTTGAATTGGCTCCTGAAGCGGAGGGGGGGTTTATTCCTATTCTGCCGCTGCGCTTGGATGATGGGGAGGATATTAATGTGGAGTTGGTCTGCAAACACACCCCCTGGTGTGACAGGTGCAAGTGGTGGAATCATACAACTACGGATGGTTGCCCCAAATTGGTTCAAGCGCGAGACGGCCAGGAAGCTGAAGTGGATACAACTGACAACTTCTCGCAGCGTAATAGGCAGCAACTTGCACCTGGAGCAATCGGTGGGATTCGGGAAGCAGCGAAAGATCCTCCAGTCGAAATTCTGCATCAAACGGTAGCGGAATCTTCTATTCGTGCGGCTTCAAGAAGTCAACAACCGCTACGTCAAGGCCTAAGCGGAAGATCTCAAGGTATTAGGATTCAGTCCCAGCAAACGCAGGGTCAGGGGGCTCATGCTCACCCAAGCACTGGAACACAGGCGCAGGCCATACAGGGAGGCATACCGACGTCTACAGGACTTCACGGAAGAACAGTGGGAACTGGCTTCACTCCGTACAGATCGAATCCTCCTCCTGCTTATTACCAAGGCTATGGCTTGGGAAATCCGGAGTTGCAGAGATTCCCTGGAGTTTGGAACACAATGGGGGAACAAGCATGGCAATCGTCAATCTTGGCAGCAACAGGCATCCTATCAATAGACCTAATGGGACAACACGGAGCTACTCCACAGGATATGCAGGCTCCTTTGCAGGGTCATGTACTCGAGGAGACGAGAGACCTGGCACTGGTTCAAATTAGGGAAAGAGAGGAAAGATGGCTGGAAGAAAGACTGGAGAGGCATTCTATGCAGGAAAGAAGCCCCCGGGGGGATGGAATTCCCAGAACAGAAGGCAAGGAACTAGTGGCTTATACGGGGGGTATGGAAGGCGGAGTTCAGGAGAGAGGAGGAAGTCAAGAGTTGGTGGAGGATGTGGGAATGGCAGGAGATGAGAACGTGGAGGATTCTCCGCAGGACATACACGATGGTGCTTTTAGCAGAACAGGTGATGATCAACAGATGATGGACCACCTAATTCTTCCTTTGGTATGTACCCTCCAAGGTCACGAGATCTTCGTCCTTGGTCTTAGATCAGCAGAAGGGAAGCTGTACATGCCAACGAGCCCTATCATGGAGATTCCATCGGTGCAGTTTGTCATGATGAAAGTGAGACAGCTCTTTGCAGAACGGTTCTAGTTCCGGCTCTTTCCAGAAAAAACTCATGTTCGCTTGATAGTGAATCTACCGGAAGGAGGCAAGGTTCGGTACTCGATTCCACTTGTGGATGCAAAAATTCCCGCCAAATGTTTGGAATAATATAGGCAATGTTGGTCTGGTGGGTATTCCGCTTCGTTTACTATTAGCGGCTCCAATTGGCGAGCTGCAGAGCATTGCGGTGGATCCGGGGCTGACAGCAACAGTGTTGCTTCAACTGAACTCACAGCTGCAGAAAAGAAGGAACCTCACGTCAGCATACTTTGCGGAAGTCTTGAGCAGCAGATGGCCGGAGAATCTTACGATCCCATGGCACATCCAAGCAGAGGCCCCCCATCAGCAGAGTAATGGGAAAAATTGAAATTTCTACCTGGAACGTCTAGGGACTGGGTGACTCGGGAGGAAAACAGAAAGGAAGGAGGTTGAAGGAATGGATTGATGGGAAAAATGTGGATGTGACTTTTGTGCAGGAAACAAAGTTGTCAATAGAGAAGTTGAGCCAATTAAAAGACTAGTGGAGGGGCCCGCAATTGTGGTCCCCTGCACAAGGCAGCCGGGGTGGGGTTGCTATTCTGATTCACAGTCGGCTGGAGTGCACCCAGCTGGACGCGGACTGTGACCTGTGGGGGCGTTGGTGCTGGGTAAAAGTGGGTATGGAAGGAGAGGAGTGGGTGTTTGCTACGGTGTACGCGCCAAATGATCCCTTGGACATAATTGAATTTATTGAAATGCTATCCAGGAAGATTCCAAAGTCGGAACATCTAATTATAGGCGGGGATTGGAATCTGATTTGCACTCCGGGGCTAGACTCAGAAAAAGTGGAAGGGATGCAGAGAGATAGGAGGACGTTGCTGCTATGGAGGGAGAAGTGGGGTCTGCAGGACATTTATAGAGATATTAATCCGCTGCAGCATGGCTTCACATGGTTCGGAAAAACACCTCAGTCGGTCGGGGTCAAGAGACGGTTGGACTTTTTTTTTGTGTCGGAAGCAGCAACAGCTAATGTGCATTCGGTTCGAGAAACGAATGCGGCTATGTCGGATCATAAGCCTGTCTGGATGACAGTCAGTGTGGGGATTGCGGGTGAGAGAGGCCCTGGTTGCTTCAGGCTGAACGCGACCATCCTAGAAGATGAGGGAGTTGTGAATTGGGTAAGCGACTTTTGGAAAGAGTGGGGCGAAACGAAGGCTTTCTTCACTACGAGAGCGGATTGGATGGATGTGGGGTTAAGAATCATCTCAAGCAAGATGGGAGTTTTCTCAGTGATAGCGGCATTCCGCAAAAACAAGGATGGAGTAGATTGCCGAAGAAAAGTGGAAGAGGCGGAAGAACGAATGGGAGAGCATCCGATCTCAGAGTTGGCGTGGGCGGAAGAGAGAGCAGACAGACTACGAAGTTGGGAACTGGTGCAGCAGGAGAAACAAAGCCGGTGGGAATAAATTCTGTCGAAAAAGAAAATCACCACTGGGGATCGGCTGTGCAAGGAAACATTTCAGAAACTCCTCCCAAGGAGGAAGTCGGTCCAAATGAAGGAGTTGTCCCACCCGCATCTTGCCTCGCTTCCTATCGCCACGACCAACACAGATCTATGCGATTATGCTCAGACTTATTTTTAGGATATCCTAACACCCCGCTCAAGGTTCGTTGATCCAGAGACAGACTTATCGGAACACTCTGAAGTGTGGAATTCCTTGGAAGCTGCCTTGAGCCCTGAAGCAAAAAAAGCATTGGAAAAACCGATTTTTGTGGCTGAACTCTCACACACCTTGGCCACAGTAGCCAATGGGAAGGCTCCCGGCGATGACGGGCTGGCGAAGGAGTTCTACAAGGCGGTTTGGGAGGTGCTAGTGGAAGAACTAGCGGCGATGTACAACGAAGTGTTGAGTGGGGGGAGATTGGATCCGACCATGACTCGAGGTATTATAACGCTGCTCTATGAGAAAGGGGACCGCAACGAAATCAGAAACTGGCAACCTATTTCCCTTCTCAATTTTTCGTATAAATTGTTGGCTAAGACATTGGTTAACAGACTTGCAGTCTATCTGCCAGGTCTGGTAGGGCTGGATCAAGGAGCCTTTGTAAAAGTCAGGTCTATTTTCGATAATTTAGCCACGACTATTGAGGCCTTGGAAGTCATTGGAAACACAGCTGCTGAGGTGGCGCTACTCATGCTTGACATGGAAAAGGCCTATGACCGCGTGAACTGTGCCTTTGTGCTCACGACATTGAAGAGGATGAATTTCGGGAACAGTTTCCGTAATGGTGTGAAAGCTTTGTATGTTTTATCCACGACAGCGGTCCAAGTTAATGGCTGACACAACAAGGAGTTCCAACTGACTCGCTCACTGAGAAAGGGGTGTCCCTTGGCCCCACTCCTGTTCGTTGTACAGTTGGAGGTGTTACTTAATGACAGAAGATCTCACCCCTTGTTGGTGGGTTTGAAGCTGCGTAGAGGCAAGGAATGCAGGGTCAAGGCGTTGGTAGACGATCTGCTAGCTCCGTCAGCCAATGAGAAGGTATCTTTAGAAGCGCTTAAAGGGTGTCTGTACCGCTACGCGGAACTCTCGGAAGCGGCAGTGAACAGGAACAAGTCAATTTTCTTCCTGCCGTCTGATTATAATCTTGAGGTGGAATGGGGCATGCGCGGAGTTCAGGAGGGAGAAGCGGAAAAATATTTGGGGGTGCAGCTAGCATTAGGTGATTGCACAGACTCTCAGACGTCCATCCTGCAGGAGAGAGTGGCCAAGAGAATACGAAGTTGGGGCCCGGCCCCGCACTTGTCACTGATCGGGAGAGTCCTAGCGGTCACGGTGTCAGCCTTCTCTATCCTTTGGTATGTGGTGAAGGTCAGAAGGTTGTCTAAGCCACTGATCAAAGGAGTGAGAGCTTCTGCTAGAAGATTTATTTGGAAACATGGGACAGGAGAGGATCAAGGGTACATTGCAAAAGTGGCCTGGGACACACTGTGTGCCCCGAAAGATCAAGGTGACCTTGCGCTGTTAGACCCTGATTCTCATAACCTATATCTGATCTCCAAGTGGATTCTGAAGGTGGCGACGGCAGATCAGCGGGCTGATTGGTGTGTGTTGGCTGAGGAGCTGTTGTTTGAGGAATGGGACTGTCTCGTCCAGAGGACGTGTGGGTGACCATAATGTTACAAACCTTCCTGTGCAAGAGGATGAAATCGAAATTCTGGAAGGATATTGTACAGGCATGGCAAAAATGCAATCCCAACATGGTAGCCCAACCAACCAACAGAGCAGAGGTCCTCAGACAACATCTCTTTGAGAATCACTGGATTCGGGGTGAAGATGGAGAGTCATTCAGTGCACACACTAAACCAGGCTCTTTTGGCATGAAGTGGATTCAGAGGGGAGTTTCGAAGGTAGGGGATCTGTGGGATGTGACTACGGGATAATGGAAGACGGAGGAAAGGTTGAAGGAATCGTTGGGTATGTTAGGGAACCAACAGGAAAGGAGGAGGAAGTTGATAAAAGCCATCCCACCAAGTTGGACTGAAATGCTGGATGGTAAGTGGATCCCGAGTATCGGCAGCTGGTTCTGTGAGGAGGCCGTTGATCAGGTTGGACAAGAATGTACAGTCTTTAGACTGGAGCAGTGGGATGAGTCGGTGCCAGGCAAGTGAAAGTTGGCAGTTTTTAAAAGGACAATTCCTGGTCTCCCGGAGCTCACGAGAATCAAGGAGTCCACGGTTTATGGCCTCTCGATCCTTAGACCCATAAGGGTCGTACAGGTGTCAAAGGGGGAGCAGGGGGCCAATCCGAGATGGAGTGTAAGAGACAATGGTACAACCATCGAAGATCTGCGCCTGGATAAATCGGCATGGGGGTGGAAAGTGGAGAATGAGGAACTCTGGGAATTGGAGAAGGATGATGAAGCTATAAGGGTGAAGGTGCACAGCACGAACCGGTGGATTTGTCAGTACATGGTGGATAAGTGGGAGGAAACCTGCCTACATTTGGACCCACCAGAAGAGAAAGAACTTCAGGGTGTGTGGTCACAGGTCCCTAACCTGCCCTCACAGAAGCTTGCCTCCCTGCTGTGGCTGCAATCACATCAAGCAGTCCCTGTTGCTAGATGGCTGAGGAAGAGGGGAATGTCAGTTAAAGAAGCTTGCGACAGATGTAATTGGTTGTTTGAGACTATGCACCATTTATGGTGGGTCTGTCCAAAGTCAAGAAGGTGGTGGGACTGGTGGTTTAAACATTGGAAGATGTGGTCTGGGAGGTCGGAGCTGACAGAGGAACGTTGGGTTTTGATGGGGATTCTGCCAGAAGGTATGTCTGGCAACAGAGGGTGGGGCTATGTAGCCCAGGTTTGCAGGGCAGTGATGTTGTGGGTAATCTGGGTGGATCGTAATGACCAAAGATTTAAGGGGCAGGGAATGGCAGAAGCCCATGTGGAAAAGTTGTTCCGTAAACTATTGCATAACGAGATTCGGGCAGACTGGAGGAGAAGAGCAGGAAGTGGGAAAAGCAGGGAGGGACTGAGCTGGTTCCGAAACACTTGGGCCCTAAACGAGGCTGTGGTGGGGGTTACAGAGGGAGGCAGACTCCGTTTCTCCAACTGGTGGGAGAAATAGGCAGGGAGTATGGTTGGCGGTTTTGCCAGAGTTTGGTTCTGTTTTTGTTTATGAACCAGGACACTTGGTTCCTGTTGGTGGTTGCAGTGGACCACAAAGGGTAGGGCAGGGAGAAGAGTTTCCAGGAACTTAGAGGAACCTCGAGTTCCGCTCGGTCGGAGTAGGCCGGGGTCAGGCCGCTAGGATAGTAGGCCTGTGTATTAGGAATTTGATACAGGGAGAGGAGTAGGTAAGTTAGGTAGCATAATGGGATGGTAGGCGAGATAGAAGCTAGAGGAATGAATTTTTTTCTTCTTGTAGATAGTAGTAGCAAAGAGGTATTATATTTGGTCTGTTGTCTTCTTGTTTGTTTGGTACTGTGTAGAAGTTTTCGGTCCTCAATCAAGTGACTGTAAGCTAAACTGGCTGATGCTGCCAGGA